CAGTAAACACAAAAGGCCAGGACGGAACTGCCCCTTTGGCTGTTTGTTTGGCCGGGAGGGGGGCTAGCCGTCTGTCCTTATCCCCCCCCCTCCCTTGGATATGAGCTGAGTCAGGAATGGGTCTACTCCGAAAAAAACAGCGAAAGAGGGCTGCTCGTTACGTAACCGAAAAGGAGGAGGGGGGAACGACACACACTGGCTGACCCCTTGCGTGCTTCCGAGCGAGAGGGATTGCCTTGTTTACACAGACTTAGTTGTGGGTCGGTCAAACGCGGCATTTTCTTCCTTTTGAACTTGTGGGAAGCCGGTTTCTTACCGTGACAGCATCTCTTGATGAACTGGGCTTGTAGCCAGATCACTGTGTCTGGCTACGGTCTGGTTTGCCCTCTGTAATCCTCAGTGGTAAGTGGAGGTAGTCCTCCACTTACGACTGCAATTGAGCTCCCACGTTTCTGTTGCTGAGCCAGACAGTTGGTTTGAGCAGTGGGTTCGGCTATAAGATCTCCGAGGGTCCTTCCAACTCTTGTTTATTCTGCTGTGTTAAATATTTGACTTGGGCAATAAAAATTGGGCCCGCCGTGTATATATGGCCCTGCACGTTGGAAGGATTTTGCCAGATCAGATCTTTCAGAACTGTCTAGCAAGGGTCCTTCCCACCCTGTTATTCTATATATAAAGTGGTTAATACCACTTTATAAGGCCTTGGTAAGGCCACACTTGGAATCCTGCATTCAGTTTTGGTCGCCACGATGTAAAAAAGATGTGGAGACTCTAGAAAGAGTGCAGAGAAGAGCAACAACGATGATTAGGAGACTGGAAGCTAAAACATATGAAGAACGGTTGCAGGAACTGGGTATGTCTAGTTTAATGAAGAGAAGGACTAGGGGAGACATGATAGCAATCTTCCAATATTTGAGGGGCTGCCACAAAGAAGAGGGAATCAAGCTATTCTCCAAAGCTCCTGAAGGCAGGACAAGAAGCAATGGGTGGAAACTATTGGTTCGATTTATTGTTTATTGGTTCGATTTATATGCCGCCCTTCTCCGGAGACTCAGGGGGGCTTACAATGCGTTAAGCAATAGCCTTCATACTTTTGTATATACCTGCTTAGTAGGGCTTTCGGCCCCTCCTAAGCAGTGTTCTATTTTATACAAAGTCAGTTTATTGCCCCCACAAACTGGGTCCTCATTTTACCTACCTCGGAAGGATGGAAGGCTGAGTCAACCTTGAGCCTGGGGAGATTTGAACTTGCAGTAATTGCAGGCAGCTGGTGTTACTTAACAGTGCTTTAGTCTGTTGCGCCACCAACTAACCAAGAAGAGAAGTAACCTAGAACTAAGGAGAAATTTCCTGACAGTTAGAACAATTAACCAGTGGAACAACTTGCCTCCAGAAGTTGTAAATGCTCCAACACTGGAAGTTTTTAAGAAGAGATTGAAAAGCCATTTGCTTGAAGTGGTGTAAGGTTTCCTGCCTAAGCAGGGGGTTGGACTAGAAGACCTCCAAGATCCCTTCCAACTCTGTTATTCTATTCTATTCTATTCTATTCTATTCTATTCTATTCTATTCTATTCTATTCTATTCTATTCTATTCTATTCTATTCTATTCTATATCCTATGCTGTCTTTCCACTATAAGCCTTTAAGTGTCTGTGTATGTCTAGTTTAATGAAAAAAGGGACTAGGGGAGACATGATAGCAGTCTTTCAATATCTCAGGCGTTGCCACAAAGAAGAGGGAGTCAAGCTATTCTCCAAAGCACCTGAAGGCAGGACAAGAAGCAATGGGTGGAAACTCATCAAGGAGAGAAGAAACTTAGAACTAAGGAGGAATTTCCTGACAGTGAGAACAATTAACCAGTGGAACAACTTGCCTCTAGAAGTTGTAAATGCTCCAACACTGGAAATTTTTAAGAAGATGTTGAATAACCATTTGTCTGAAGTGGTGTAGGCTTTCCTGCCTAAGTAAGGGGTTGGACTAGAAGACCTCCAAGGTCCCTTCCAACCCTGTTCTGTACAAGTGCCAAACATGGACACTTATGACAAAACATAAATGAAACTGAATAAACGAGATGGTTGAGGAAAGCTGCTGGAGTGACCAAAAGAGATAAAATCAGAAATGAGACCATCAAAGAAAGAATTAGCCTAGAAGAACCAATCTTAAACTGCAGGAAGGGGGTTGGACTAGAAGACCTCCAAGGTTCCTTCCAATTCTGTCATTCTGTTGTGTTAAAGATTTGATTCAGGCAGTAAAAAAATTGGAGATGCCGTGTATTTATGGTCCTGCACACTGGAAGGATTTTGCCAGATCAGATCTTTCAGAGCTGTCTAATAGCAGAACAGTTTTCTTTGCCTCCTGGTCTTTTTTTTTAAAAAAAATTATTATTATTATTATTATTATTATTATTATTATTATTATTATTATTATTATTATTATTATTATTATTATTTAATCTTTAGTGAGATTCACAGCCTTTGAGGCTGGTTAATAGCTCAGCAGCTCGAGTCCTAACCAAGGACCTAGGAACTGCTAAGGTATCGTCGGAGGATGTAAGCTGTTCCGAGTAAGGTGGTTTTTTGTAGAGTCAAAATGTTCAAGTCCGGCAATTTTAGAATTTCTAAATAGCGGGGTAGCCCTTTGGGTATTGCTCCGAGGGCTCCAATTACAATCGGGACAACACACGATTTCTTTTTCCACAGTCGTCATTATTATTATTATTATTATTATTATTATTATTATTATTATTAGTTAATCTTTAGTGAGATTCACAGCCTTTGAGGCTGGTTAATAGCTCAGCAGCTCGAGTCCTAACCAAGGACCTAGGAACTGTTAAGGTATCGTCGGAGGATGTAAGCTGTTCCGAGTAAGGTGGTTTTTTGTAGAGTCAAAATGTTCAAGTCCGGCAATTTTAGAATTTCTAAATAGCGGGGTAGCCCTTTGGGTATTGCTCCAAGGGCTCCAATTACAATCGGGACAACACACGATTTCTTTTTCCACAGTCGCTCAACTTCAATTTGCAAATCCCGGTACTTTGTGATTTTTTCTTGCTGCTTATCTTCAATCCGTGCATCACCAGGTATTGCAATGTCAATGAACCATCCTTTTTTCTTTTCAACTATTGTTATGTCAGGTGTGTTGTGGACCAAGTGCCTGTCAGTCTGAATCCTAAAGTCCCACAAGATCTTGAGTTTCTCATTCTCTAAAACTTTCTCAACCTGATGTTCCCAGTGGTTTTTGCTGTACTCAAATCCAAACTTCTGGCACAATTTCCAGTGAATAATAATAATAATAATAATAATAATAATAACAATTATTATTATTATTATTATTATTATTATTATTATTATTATTATTATTATTATTATTATTATTATTATTATTATTATTATTATTATTATAGATTTCTCCGCCTTAGCTGATCCTGTAAAATAGCTGGTCCTGCTTTGCTTGACGTGATGCCAGTTACAGCAGCCTCAGCAGAATTCTCCTCTCCCGAGGGGCCAATTTCGACACTCCATAGCTCCGATTTCAGAAACACCCTTTTGCCAAAGCCAGCAAGGAAATTAGAGCAGGAGTAAAAGCCATGTCTAATTATGGCATACTTTTAGCCATTGTTTTCTTCTGAAGGCTAATTGGGCCTTTCCACTGGGGGACGGTGGAGGAGGAGGAGGAGGAGGATTTAGTCCCAAGAAACTTGGTGACTGAGTTTGGATGCTAGGAGCTAAAAGGCCAGGCAAGGTTTCCCTTGTGACCCAGCTAAATTAGGAGGCAAACTTTGTGAATTACTGATGATGTCACTGACTTTGATGCTTGTAGTCCTCGAATGCGAGGGGCTTTACAATAGTTGAGTAACAATATTGGGGGGGTCCTTGGTGCTCCCTGAGATTGGTGGTGGTCTTGCAAACTTTAATGACCCAACTAGGTAACATCACCAACAGTGCAAACCCCACTGCCTTGTAGCACTGATGATGTTACCTAGTTGGGTCATGAAACGTCTGCCAGAAAACGACTAATCTCGGAGAGTGCCAAGGACCCACACACACACACAGTTCTCCTCCTCCTCCTCCCTGCAAGCCCCATTCCCTTTGAGCACTGATGATGTTACCTAGTCGGGTAATAAAATGTCGGCAAGGAAACGACCAAGCTCAGAGAGCACCAAGGGCCCCACAGTCTTCCCCTTCCTCTCCGCAAACCTCACTCCCTTCTAGCACTGATGGTGTTACTTAGTTGGCTCGTGAAACGTCTGCAAGAAAACCCCACCAGGCTCAGGGAGGCCCCAGGGCAGGGGTGAAATGCTCCCGGTTCAGACCGGATCACCCGATCCGGTAGCGATGGCGGTGGGTGGTTCGGAGAACCGGTAAAAAAAATCCCTGCCCCCACCCCCATGCCCAGCTGAGCCACACAATCATCAGAGGCCTTTTTTTAACTTTTAAAAGCATTTTTTTCTACAACCTCTTTGGCCGAAAAAATGCTTTTAAAAGTTAAAAAAGCCTCTGATGGTCGTGCGGCTCAGCTGGGATTGTCAAAGGCTTTTAAAAGAAAAAAAACCCTTTTTTTTCTTTTAAATGCCTCTTGACGATCCCAGCTGAGTTGCCTGATCGGCAGAGGCTTTTTAAAAAAACTCAGCTGGGATCATCAAAGCCTTTTGAAAGCATTTTTTACAACCTCTTCGCCGAAGAGGCTGTAGAAAAAATGGTTTTAAAAGTTAAAAAAAAAAATTGGCCACGCCCACCCAGTCACATTACCTCCCCCAAGCCACGCCCACAGAACCGGTAGTAACAAATTTTAGATTTCACCACTGCCCCAGGAACCCCATATCAAGGAATTTCAGAAAGTTGGCTTCTCCAGTGGCATTCTTCAGACCCTTCACTCTACAGTTTCTCCGTAATCAGTTGTTAACCGATTTCAGCATAATAATTATATTAAGTAAATTAATATCAGGGCTCTGATAATAGACATTTCACCAGCACTTTTCTTTTTTCTTTCTTTCTTTTCTTGCAGGATTTTTTACTGGGACCTGGAGAGTCTCCCCGACGTACATGCAAACTTTACGAAGCAACTAATATAGACACCAAGTTCTCTGGTATATCGTGAAACTTTTGAGACTCGTCTGGAGGCCCCGGGAGATTCAAGGAGGGCAGGAGCTGCTGCAACCGACTTCATTATAAGACTATTAAATCCTCTTTTATTTTTTTTTACATTTCCCCCTTCCTTTTTTCCCCCCCTCCCTCCCGGCTCATCTTTTGCTTATTCCCTTCATCTGCGCAGTTCATTTGGAATTCCTCTTTCACTTAAACAAAATACTAAAGAAAAAAAAACCCCAGCAAATAATTTTCTGTTGCTGCTACTGTTTAAGTACCAGAATTCTGGGACAAAATGTACATAAGGTTTTGTTTTGTTTTGTTTTTTTCCCCCCCTCTCCTAATGTCGTTGAGCAGGGTGATATTTAGTTGAGAGTATGAAGATCTGTGACAAAATTTTATTTTTATTTTTTTGGTTTCTGGTTGCTGCTGCCTGGCCCCTAAAGCTAGAAACACAGCGGAACACACATTTCTCCTGCTCCCCTTTTTTTCAAAATGACCTACATCGGGGGACCTAAAGACATGAGATTTCGGATAGGGATATTTAAGGTAGACACACAAACCTTTCAAGGTGGCTGCTGGGTTAGAAATCCAGATCCAAGCATCCCAGGAGCCTGTGTTTCTCTATGCCAAACTTTACAGAAAGGTGTGTGGGGTTTAGAAGTGATAGAAAACATCCGTAGAAACGGTCTTTATGTAGAAAAAGTTATCCTAAGTCTGTATCTAGGGGTTTGTAGCTTACTTAGCTAGTCCTTGGCTGGCTAAATTCAGCCAGCCTGAAATCAAGTGGCTATCTTAACATCGCCTTTTACCTATTTTAGCCGTCAGTCTTCTTGAAATTTCTTCCCTTCCACAGAAGTACAGGCCCTTTCTTACTTCTTGAAGGCTTCTTCAAAGTTAAGGGTATCTTTTCAAAGTTAAGGGTATCCACTTGCAGCCGTCGCGTGTCTACGTTTACGCACCCACAAAAGAATTATTCCCAATTTTAAACGCTGCCCTAAGTAGCGCTCTCCTAAGACGATCATTCCATGGTTCTCGAAAGTCTGAAAGCCAGTTGCTTCTCTTCGGTGACGGGGACGCTAAGCCGACCGCCTGCTTTGAACTGACTATCCTGCTCCTTTCAATCAGCCGTAGGTTGGTCTTGGGGGTTACCGCTCTTTGTTCAGCGGCAGGGAAGGCACGATTGGATCGGCGTCATAAAACCGAATCGGTGCTTTGCCTTTCTCCCCCTCCCCCGGTCTAAGACGAACCGGGTCATTTGAAATGGTTCCTGAGGTCGTCCGTCAGTTTCTCGAGGATTGAGTGCTGCAGAATATTTACTCTCCAAAATATCGGCGTTCCTTAGTTATGTGCAGCCAGTTTTAGACCATGAATATCAGTCTTATTTGTGGATGTAACGTGGCTTGCAAGGTTTTTCATTCTACACAGCCCTGATTGACAAGACAGAGCTCAAAAGAGATCCTTTTGAGATCCAAGGTGAACTAATCTAAACTAAAACAATTTCCCAAGAGACGTTTCACACTACCGAATGTTTCTCTTTTATCATTTGAAATTAGCCTGTTTTTTGGGGGGGTAGAGTTGGATCAAAAATTTAGGGTGTTGACAAGCCCTGTTTTGAACCCGTGGCCCCGAATTAAGATTTTGAGAACTCCCCCTTTTCCTACTGAGGTCCATTCAGCCACGCATCCTACCTATCCCAGGGCACAAGCCACGTCGCATTGCGTGTCAAATGTCCCGCGAGCTTCCGTGCTGCCAAGGGGTCCTCGCGTTTTACTTCTGCACTTTTGAGGGATGTTTGGGTGGGTGCGAGCGTGTGTGTGTGCGGAGGAAGCCTCGTGGGCAAGATGCCATCGTGCGATTTCCTTTCCCGTTGGTGAGGTTAACGCTTTTGTGGTGATAGCTTAGATCTTTGGCGGACTTCAACTCCCAGAATTCCCCAGCCAGCCATGCTGGCTGGGGAATTCTGGGAATTGAAGTCCGCAGGTCTTAAAAGCTGCGGACACTCCTGGCTTAGACCTTATTCAAGTGCCTTATTCAAGGATTTTGAAAGCCTCTTGCAAGAAATGCGTTAAAGCTAAGGAAAGAGCTCTTTGGGTTGTTGAGTTGTGCTTCAGCCCCGGTTCTCCACTTTACAATCTCTTTGTCCGTGTCGGTCTTCTTCTCGGTTGCCCACAAAAGCTCTTTAGAAATCGATCAACGTTTCTTGGTTTGGCTGCATCAGGTGCCAACAAGACATTTCTGGAGGCCAGCAGCAGCATCTCAGGAGGGTCTCCTCCTAAGGTCTTTTGCCCTCGTTCCTAAGGACGGGAGCCTCTCCCTGCTCCCAGGTGTGATCTTCCTTTGACTTAATGGATGTGACTGTGTTGTGTTACAAGCAATAGACCTTTGGCCCCAGGATCCTGGTGTCTCCCGGGTTTCAGACACGACGACTGGGGTTCCTGCAGAAGTATCTCTCCCACCTTCACTCAGAAGTCGTCATCCCCGTCCCCACCTCAGTCGCTGGTTATATGAATGTTGAATGGAGATTGCTAATTTATTATTGAGAGCGATCAGATCTCACCGGTGTAAAAAAAAAAAAAAAAAGTTATTTGGGGATCGATTGGCGGGTTTTTTTTTTCCCCGAGTTTATTTTAAACTGTTTACATCTCTGTTTGCTGTTTACAGTGTGGGCTTTGTGCTTTGACCCTGGCCCATTCACAGAACCTTCCTTTTCCTCCCCCCCCCCCCATCACCTTTTCCCAACGACTCGATTTCTACTTTTCATTGGAAGGATGGCACCGAAGCTGGCATCATCTCGACAGCTTTTCTAAAGGTGCCAATGTGCCATCCACACCTGTCTTCTCTTTTGTACATCTGGCCATATCTTCCTGTTTCCCTTTTTTAACCACATTGCATTCTCACATTTGACTCTTAAACTTGGCAGAAGAATTTTTTAAAAAGTCCGTCATGGGTAAGTTCTGTACCATCGAGAAACTAAGTTTGAACTTTCCTTTGGCTTTGATCAGATTTTAGGCCAGTCACAGGAAACGATGATCGCTTTATGACCTATGGACTTCAACTCCCAGAATTCCTGAGCCAGCCATGACTGGCTCAAGAATTCTAGGAGCTGAAGTCCGCAGGTCATAAAAGGAACCTAGTTCCCCACTCATTCTAGGCCAAAAAAAGCTCTTTTGCCAAGGTTGTGTATCAGTATCTCTTCTTCCCACCGTAAGGTTGGAAAACGAGAGGTCAAAGGTAGCCATTACAAAGACGACAGCTGCTGTCATCTCAGTCTGGATTGTAATGAGCGTTGGGGTAAGAACCCAACACATCATTCTTGATCAACCCAACACATGGCATTCTTGGTTATAAGTCTTCCTTCCCACCAGCTTTGGGGGCAGCTGGTTACCTAAGTAGCAATAGATGTCACTAGCCTAAGGCCTGGGAGGCTTTGGCCTATTGAGGGAAGACTGGCCATCAACCACAGTTGACGTTGGCCAAGATCAACTCATCTGGGGGGGGGGGTGGAATATAATTGTTGAGTTGGCATTAGGAACTAGAAGCATAGAGTCTGGAGATCAACGGCGTGAGAGCAGAAGACACTGCCCAGGGCACTCGGGCACCCCACTCCCCATCATGAGGACTACTCTCTTTGCAAGTTGGTCACCTTCTAGGGCTGTGCCTTGACCTTCCCAGCTGACCCATGGGGAAGAGGGAGGGCAGGATTTCCACTTCTCCAGATGTTGTACTGAAGAGTTGAGGTGCTGCTCATTGGTTTTGCCGTCTCCCTAATACCTTCGCTCCCTCAGCTTCCCACACTGCCGGTCCTTTTATAGAGCAATAATCTTTTTTTTTTTTTAATCTGTGTGTGTGCGCGCACGCGAGATAGATTCCAGTTTGAATCTCTTTTGTCTTTATGCTTCTCAACGTATTGTATCTAGTTATCATCTGGATTTAAGTCCTCGGTTGCCTGATGGGGCTTTTACTAACCCATAGAAATGGCTGACCCAAACAGGCTGTCAGGAACGGGGTAGATCTGCTTTTCCAGTGACCAAATGGTTAAAATCGAAGAGGGCAGCGTTGTGTTGCGGGCTGGGAAGGTTCCTTCAAAACTAGCCAGCCCAGGGTTTTGTTGTGGCTGATGGGTGGACAACTGCTAGATCTTCTCGTTTTTGGCCTCTGACACGATATATATCAGCGGTGTCCCACCTTGCAACTTTTAAGACTTGTGGACTTCAACTCCCAGAATCCCCCAGCCAGCATGGCTGGCTGGGGAATTCTGGGAGTTGAAGTCCACAAGCCTTAAAGTTGCCAAGGTGGGACACCGCTGATATATTCCATGAGCCTAAATGAGAGAAGATGACTTGGACAGAACATCTGAGAACTTGCCTTTTAAGCATCTGGCGCCATTTCTCTCTGGGGCTTTGCTCGGTTCCTCAGAGAGGAGAACTCTTTTGGGGCACCCCGAGGCAAGCAGCAGCTCTCGACCTGCACGGAATTAAAACGATTGTTGCAAAAAGCTGTCGGAAGTTTGAAAAAGAAAAAAATAATTCAGTGTCACTTCCTGGAATACCTGACTTGGATTGACATGATGGAAAAGCTACCTCACTCCTGGCGGTTGAGCGGATGCTGGGTGCCCCCCTCTCTCTCTCTTTCTCTCTTTCTCTCTCTCTCTCTCTCTCCCTCTCTCTCTCTCTCTCCCTCCCCCCCCCTCTCTCTGTGTACTGGGTTCAAAAATTGTACACCCCTTCGTGTTGCGCTGGGCACAATTGGCCCCCAAGGATCTTTTTTGCCATGTTGAGTTGAAGAACACGAGTCTTCCTCTTACAGAATTTCTTCCGCCTGGCAAAACTCGGATCGCTGCCCAGGTCATCCGTTCTGTCATTCCTTCTGCTACTTTCCCAAGAGTCAGTGTTTTCCTGACTTTAAAGACCTCCAGAAACTATTGGGCTACCATTTCCAGGTTTCTCTCAACAAGTAGGGATATCTAGAACTTAAGGGATATCTAGATACCTAGTTTCTAGTAGAACGATATCTGGAACTAGATACCAACTGGTAGGGATATCTAGAACTTAAGGTATACCTAGATACCTAGTTCCTAGTAGAATTAGATATCTAGAACTAGATAACAACTGGTAGGGATATCTAGAAATTGAAGGATATTTAGATCCAGATACTTGGTTTCTAGTAGAATTAGATATCTGGAACTAGATACCAACTGGTAGGGATATCTAGAACTGAAGGGATATTTAGATACTAGATACCTAGTTTCTAGTAGAATTAGATATCTGGAACTAGATACCAACTGATAGGGGTATCTAGAACTTAACTGGAGGCCCATTGGGTTGAAGAAGCTGGAAGGTCCTTAATCTAGACCAGGGTGTCTCGAAAACCTGGCAATTTTAGAACTTGTGGACCACAACTCCCAGAGTTCCCTAGCCAGCTGGTTGAGGAATTCTGGGAGTTGAAGTCCACAAGTCTTAAAACTTGTCCAGTATGGAGACCCCTGGTCTAGAAGAGCAAGGTTCATGAAAGATGAAAATAATCCATATATACTATCTCGTTATGATCACCAACTTGTTTTTTTTGGGTTTTTTTTTTTAAAAAATCCTCTCCTGCAGATACCTCTGAGGAAAAAGGGGGGAAAGCCCTTCTTTTTTTTCCCACAGGATCCAGGCCCAGACATGGCCCATTGCAAACATGGACACAGATCCCGGGAAAAATAATAATAATAATTGAATGTCCAGAAGGAACGTCTTAAATCCCAGATTTCAAGGGGCCGTTTTCCCATGCTAGTCTTAAGAGAATTCTCCTCCCTTTTCTTTGCACAGAAGCTGGTAACTCTAGGACCCGTGTGTGAATAAATCTTTTTATTTTATGGTTTCCATTTTTATTTTTTATTTTTTTTTGGTTTACTTGGGTTGGTGTGAGACCTTGTATTTAAATCCTCGGAACACTGTGGAAATCCTGATGGTGTATGAATGACAGCAGCTTTGTAAATTAAAATGTTTGTGTGAATAAAGCTAGTGGGTGGGATTGAAAAGCCCTTCCCAGTTTTGAAACGAAGCCTCTTTGCTTTTGTTTTTAAAACCTTTTTGAGTCTGTCTTTTTTTTTTTTCTTTTTCCGTCATAATCAGACACAGAGGAATGCATCTCGGGCGTGATAAAGAATTTCCAGGAATAAAATACTAAACCCCTCCCAAAAAATTCAGGCCTGAATCCAATAGTTGTCCACAGCAAAGAGTGAATGTCAGAGATAAAATTGGAAGACAGAGCAGAAAAGGATAAAGGAGTGCTGCACATTTTTAAAACTGGAATTAACAGTGTTTAATAAAGTTTTAAATGCCTTAGAACAGCCTTTTGCGAGTTTTAAGATCGGTGGACTTCAACTCCCAGAATTCCCCAGCCAGCTGGCTGGGGAATTCTGGGAGTTGAAGTCCACCGATCTTAAAACTTGTCAAGGTTGGGAAACGCTGACTTAATATTTAAACTGCGTCTTCTCCCTACTTCTTGTGGCCCACCAGCTACCAGCGGAGCTGGCGGCAGACTCAGACGATGAGGAAGTTGGGGAGGAAATTGAGGGAAGGCTTTGATGGATGCTCTGCGTCAGACGCAGAGATAGAGCCAGGGCTGTCCGACATTTCCCAGCCACCAGAGAGGCAGCTGCCTTTGGAGGCTGATACGAGTGGGGAGGAAGAACAGCTGGGACCTGTTCCAGATGAGTGTATGCGCAGAGTAGTTAGGAGAGGTGAGCAACGGAGGACAAGGAATCGACTCGGGAAGCAAGGCACATATGGACGCTGAATGGCCCCTCCCTGGCTGGGGAACAAATAAGAAGGAAAGGGGAGTGGTGGTCGTAGGAGACAACCGTTCGTATTTCTGAAGATTTCGCTCATGGTGTTTCGTGGCCCAAAGACTGCTTGCCAGAACTTAGATTTGCAGCTTTGCGGCCTGGCAATTATCTCAAGGAACTGATCAGGTCTGTTAGTGCAGTTAACTCCTTGAAGGACTCTTGCCTGGACTTTTCGGTGTGTGAATGCCATTAATTCACAGGAGATAAATAAAGAGAGGGTTTTTCCGTGACAAGGAGTCTGTTTCTTGCTTCTGCTAAGGCTGGGTGAGAACACGGCCTCTCAAGCCCTGTTTATGGCATTCTTGCAAAAAGGACGCTTTTTGTAAAAGTAGTTTTTGGTTTAAGTGAGGGGGGGGTTAAAAAATAGTGGAGACTTTGGCCCTCGATGAGGCCCTCTTTTGCAGGAAGAATGGATTAGCCGGAAGGCTTCATTAAGATGTTAGGGGCTGCCCCACAGAGGGATTTTTTGCCCCTTTTAAGCCGGAGAGCCAAAACAAGTGGTGTTTTCCTAGATGCTTTTAATCATTCCTGGGGATGCAGTTTTGGCTCGTGGCTTGACAAAGTTTGCCGACTGCAATGCCATCCTGGATTTCAGCCAGAACCACCATTCAACACTACCCAAGCTTAGGGTTGGGCAAGTCACGACTTGGCTCTTTCGGATTTGCAGACGGGGAGGATCGTGGGGTTCTTGGTGCTCTCTGAGCTTGGTTTTTTCCTTGCAGACATTTCATGACCCAACTAGGTTACAACATCAGTGCTAGAAGCGAGCGGGGTTTGCCATCTATATACAGGTATTCCTTGATTTAAATAACCACCATTGAGCCCCACAATTTATGCTGCTAAGTGAGAAATTTGTTAAGGGAGTTTTGCCCCGTTTTAACGACTTTTCTCGCCACGTTTGTTAAGCGAATCTGTCAAAATTAGCAACACCGTTGTTAAGTGAATCTGGCTTCCCCGTTGACTTTGCATGTCGCAAAAGGGGAACACACGACCCCGGGGGACACTGCGACCGTCATAAATATGAACCATCATTCAAGTACCCAAATGTCAATCACACGACCATCGGGATGCTGCAACGGTCAGAAGTGTGAAAAATTGTCTTGTCGATTTTTTAGTGCCATTATAACCTTGTCCAGTCACTAAATGAACTGTTGTAAATCAAGAACTACCTGTACAGGGCAAGCTGGACAGAACAAGGCACTAATGCAGTGATGGCTAACCTTTTTGCCATCGCATACCCGGGGGGTGGGGGGCACATGCCCACACCCATAGTTCTATGCGCCCTGCGCATGCATGCGCAAATCCACCCACCCCCGTTCCCCCAGGTCCTGGGGCTCACCTGGTTCCAGGGCCTCTCTAGGAGTCTGGGGAGGGCGAAAACAGCCCGTTCGACAACTTCCGGTGAGCCTAGAAGACCTCAAAATCAGCTGGTTGGTGCGCATATTCCTGCCGGAGCTGAGCTCACATGCCCACTGATACGGCTATGCATGCCACCTGTGGCACGTGTGCCATGTGTTCGCCATCACAGCACTAATGTATAAACAAAGAGCAAACCCCATTCTCTTCTACCACTGATTATGTTATTTAGTTGGGTAATGAAACATCTGCAAACCCCACTCCCTTCTAGTACTGATAATGTTACCTAGTTGGGTCATGAAACGTCTGCAAGAAAACCACCAAGCTCAGAGAGCACCAAGGAGCCCACAGTCCTCCTCCTCCTCCTGTTCCTCCACCTCCCCACTCCCTTCTAGCACTGATAATGTTATCTAGCTGGGTCATGAAACGTTTGCAAGAAAACCACCAAATTCAGAGAGCACCAAGGAGCCCACAGTCGTCCTCCTCCTGTTCCTCCACCTCCCCACTCCCTTGTAACACTGATAATGTTACCTAGCTGGGTCATGAAACGTTTGCAAGAAAACCACCAAATTCAGAGAGCACCAAGGACCCCACAGTCGTCCTCCTCCTGTTCCTCCACTTCCCCACTCCCTTCTAACACTGATAATGTTACCTAGCTGGGTCATGAAACGTCTGCAAGAAAACCACCAAATTCAGAGAGCACCAAGGAGCCCACAGTCCTCCTCCTCCTGTTCCTCCACCTCCCCACTCCCTTCTAGCACTGATAATGTTACCTAGCTGGGTCATGAAACGTCTGCAAGAAAACCACCAAGCTCAGAGAGCACCAAGGAGCCCACAGTCCTCCTCCTCCTGTTCCTCCATCTCCCCACTCCCTTCTAGCACTGATAATGTTACCTAGCTGGGTCATGAAACATCTGCAAGAAAACCACCAAGCTCAGAGAGCACCGAGGACCTCACAGATCAGACTTTAGTGGGAAGGAGCAACCTTGGCACAAACCAAATCCCATCCCCATCACACATGTTTGGAAAGCTCCCTTTTGTCCTCTGACTGGAATATAAACAAGCATCATTCAAAGCCGGTCAGCTGGAAGAGATCCATTTTAGAGCATTGTCCGGGGACATTACGAGCCACAATACGGACATGTTCCGTTTCCAAGAGCCGCCGGCTGTTTGGCTTTCGTGTTTTGCATATCCTGACTGTCTTCCCATGTGCACCGGGTACCAACCAACAATGCCAAAGCCCGATCAAAACAAATCAAGGGTTTCGCCTTTGACAGATTACATAACGCGACGGTGTTATGCAATTGCTGACAAGAGCTTTTCTCGTCCCCGCTCGCAAGGCGTTTGCGCTCCCTGGGATGAAAATAGCAAAGAGCACCAGATGCTTCGCTGGACATCTGCAAATCCGACAATCCCGATTAACCGAATCTTTGCAAATCCTTGGAAAACAATCTCCGAAAGGCATCCGAGCACATTTTTTTTTTTTAATTTGATTTCTATGCCGCCCTTCTCCGGAGACTCAGGGCGGCTTATAATGCGTTAAGCAATAGCCTTCATCCTTTTGTATATTTATACAAAGTCAGCTTATTGCCCCCACAATCTGGGTCCTCAATTTACCTACCTTTGAAAGGAATGGAAGGCTGAGTCGACCTTGAGCCTGGCGAGATTCGAACTTGCAGTAATTGCAGGCAGCTGAATGTTAATAACACGCTATTAGCCAGCTGCGCCACCAGGCCCCATGGTTTGGGAAAGGGATGCAAGCATCAAATCTTAAAGGTGCAAAATTTGGGGTCAATTCTTGCAGGACAGCCAAGGTACAAACGAACGTCCAGCTTCATTTCACATTCCTTTTATTTTGGGGGGATATTTTTTTCTGCGCTCAGTCTGGAGCCATTCCAGAAAATGGACGAGACCCAGAGTCAGCAACCTGCAGCTCTGGAGCCGCATGTGGCTCTTTCACCCCTCTGCTGAGGCTCCCTGTGACACAACTGCTAATGTGCGACACCTGCCAGCACACAATTTATTACGCTTTTTCAACCCCTGGTAGGCCAACCATGGATAAATCCAAGAAAAGAAAAGTTTCAGAAGAAAACAGAATGTTTAATTCAACTACATATGCTAGTTTTGTGGCATCTCAAGAAATAGTCAGGCACGGGAAGGGTTTTGTGGCTCTGTTCTTCCCCAGCTACGGACCCCAAAGAACGCAGCACACACGAAGTCCGTTCAAACCTTAGTTTACTGAATAAAACAGTTTTTTTACAACAATTGCTGTTAATTAACTGCATTAACAGCCACCAAGAATTCAAAGAATAATACTGAAAGCTTACTGTGGTCGGCAGAATGCCCAGAAGCAATTTGCAGGAAGCTGATAAGATAAGCAAGACAAGACACGAAGTTATGTGAATGAAGTTGTTCCCTGCAAATTGCTTCTGTTGGCGTTCCTCCTTAAATAGGCTAAGGGAGTGGCCAATTAGCCCCAAGCCTTACTCTCGAGGAGACCTCCTCCTGAGGAGCCACTCCTGCCTTTTGGCAGCTCTGTGTGCCCGTGCATTGAGAAGAGGCTCCTCCTCTTCGTCCTCTTCACTTAAGGGAGGTTCTGAAGGCCCTGGCTGAATCCCCACCCCTGGCACCACATCTTCTCCAGCCTCCTCATTGTCCGACTTGAGTGCCAGCTGCACAGGCTGCTGGCGCAGCACCACACCAGCCTCCTCGCTGTCGGAATCAGCTACTAGCTGCACCGGCCACTGATGGGCCACAACAGGCTCCCGGTGTTTTCTTTTCTGTGGGAAGTGGGTCCAAATGGCTCTTTGAGAGTTTAAGGTTGCAGACCCCTGGACTAGACGACCTACCATTTTTG